GAGGAAAATGCTGTGCTCTTTTTTTATATTCTTTTTAAATGTCTCTGTACATAGATGGTCCTGCTAGTGCTTAGCCACAAAGGAGTCAATTAGTAGACCTTTTGATCTTACCTGATTGCACCTTTCCTTGAATTGGAGGGGAAAACATATTTTTGGCTAATGCCATGAGTATTGATGGTGTTATTTTTATTATAAATATCATAATTACTATAATGTTATAAACATTAGTAACAGCAAAATAAGAAAACGTAAAATATTTTTGTAAATAAAGGAAAAGTGTAAACGGGTAAGACAGGCAGTGATTGTAATTGGCTCATTGGTGATTTAGTACAACTGCAACCATCTATGTGTAAAAACAATTAATCATGTAAACTCAAAGTGGGCATGGCATGTACATACATGCCATCCCCATTGGCATTGGGTTAAACTGTTTTTAAATGACTTATTTCTGCAAGTATACCTATTGTGGTAGATCATATGCCAATGAACTAATCCAAAATTTACCCAGTAATGCCTAAGTTCCACTATTATAAAAAAAATGCTGTAAAGCACAGATGCACAAACAATTAAGGATAGCAGAGAGTCCATCCATCCATCTGTCCATCTGCTTGCTTGCCTGCTTGCCTGCCTGCCTGCCTGCCTGCCTGCCTGCCTGCCTGCCTGCCTGCCTGCCTGCCTGCCTGCCTGCCTGCCTGCCTGCCTGCCTGCCTGCCTGCCTGCCTGCCTGCCTGCCTGCCTGCCTGCCTGCCTGTCTCTCTGTCTGCCTGCCTACTTGCCTGCCTACCTGCCTGTGTCAGTCTGTCTTGGTCTGTGCCGTCTATGTCTGTATATCTATCTAAATCTATCTCTCAGTGAGACAAAACTATACAATGAGGTCAAGTTAACAAAGAATATTGTTGCCTGAACTATGGTGCTAGACATACAATCAAACTCAAAGTCAATTTGTACGTTTCAGAACAGAATGAGAGAGGGAATGCCCTGGATCTCAAGACAGAATCAGTAAAGTTGCCAAGAAAAAGTAAGCACAAAAATTACCAAATCTTATTTAAGTTAACATCAAACAACAAAACTTCTATCTGAAATAAATAAATGAATAAATTGATAAATGTATAATAAAATAAGTATATAAAATAACACTCAATAAAAAACTTACCACAATACCGACTGATTGCACAACAAAATACTTACCCTAACAGAATTTGCAAGATGCTCCCTCTGCATTGGTGTCAGGTCATTTCTGATGATGCTTGCTACACTCTTGAACTTCCCCTGGGAGAGATAGGCAGCTGTAAGCCCTCCCACAGTTCCACCTGGGACATAAAAGGAAAAATTATGTTTTTACAGACATAACTGGCAAATGTCAAATGACATGGCACTGTAAAAACAGAGGCAAGGAGGTTACAGAAATGAAGGAAGAAACAGAGAGTAAGAAAGAAGTTAAAATATGTTAAGGATAGGAGGAGGAGGAGGAGGAGGAGGAGGAGGAGGAGGAGGAGGAGGAGGAGGAGGAGGAGGAGGAGGAGGAGGTGGTGGTTGAGGAGGGAGAGGGGAGGAGGGAGGATGGGAGGGAGGGAGGATGAGAGGGAGGGAGGGAGGGAGGGAGGGAGGGAGGGAGGGAGGGAGGAAGGAAAGGTAGATGGGAGGAAGGAAGGAAGGAAGGAAGGAAGGAAGGAAGGAAGGAAGGGAAGGAGGGAGGGAGGGAGGGAGGGAGGGAGGGAGGGAGGAGGAGGAGGAGGAGGAGGAGGAGGAGGAGGAGGAGGAGGAGGAGGAGGAGGAGAAGAAGAAGGAGAAGGAGGAGAAGGATTATCTTCAACAGCAGAACCAAAGGCCCCCAAACTCACCCACAGCAAGCCCTATGGGGCCACCTAGCAGACCCCCCAGCATGGTCGTTCCTCCAGCAATGAATCCCCCTTTCATACTTTCCTTCATGGCAACTCGCAGCTTCTCTTCCTCACATATTTGGGACACGAGAGACAGGGCTTCAGCAGTGTTGAGTGGCATCTTTTGATCTGTGGATTATTTGTCTTATGTATATTGTGCCTTTTTTATTTGTACTCTATATATTCTCTTAAATATTCCAACATTCATCATGTTCCTATCAATTCCTAATTCAGCATTTTCATTTTACTGCTACATCATAAATAAATTGTTTCAAGAGTTATATGTCATTTCTTTTTCTAGTTCCTTTGTAAATCAGAGAATGACAAACACACATGATGTATACCAAGAGAAACATCCAAGACAATTTTAACAAAACTAAATTTAAATAAACCACAAAGTAAATTTAATATAACATTTTCTTAGTGTACCTAACATTAAGGAAATTCAGTGTCTACTTATTTTAGTTAGCCTCTAAGACATTTCATATCTTAGTCTTTATATCTTGCTATATTTTTTTTTCTACTGCATAGCCTATCGTCTAATATTTCAAAAAAAAAAAATTAGGAATGCACACTAGATGTTCAGTAACAACAAAGGTTTCCAGCCAAAGAGACCATAATCTCAACAATGAAGCCTAATTCCCGAGAAAATAGATTACCTTAAATAATTTATTTTCTGCATATATGACATTTATTTAAATATAAAAAAAAAAAAAAGTTAAAAGACCAATCAACTTCATTAGAAAATCACTACATTTAATTTCAAAGAGTAACATTTGGATTCATACACAATATCATAAAATGGTCTTATTTCTAATGTTTCTTATTAAAATGCAAAATTACCAAGGCTAAGTTACAGCATGCTCGACCTATTTTGTGTAATTCTAAATTATTGTAGACCAGTGAAAATGCGTCTTGGATATACAATGTTCAAATATATTCAAGAAAAAAATCTGGATATTTAGATTCACGGAAGGTATTTAAAGTACAGGCTAGTCCAAACCATAATTTTCTTGTGAAACCAACTGAAATCAACACTATCATTAATATTCAGATCAATGGGTGAGGACAGTTCCAAAGCCATGTAAAAGCCAAATTAAAACGATATACAAATGGAACAGCAAATGGTTAATGGTTAATGGTTAAAAGCAAGATAAATGTGCTAGACATCTAAGGTCATGTAGCACTATAGTTAATGTTAGTGAAGGGTGGTTGAGTTAGTGATTAGTTGTCTAAGCTGGGCAAAGGAATTAGTGAGTGAAAGGGTAAGGTCGGGTGTTATATTAGATAAAGGATATGCATAAGAAAGGTTTCTTGAAGGCATACAATAGATGGGTTATAAGAGGAAAGGATATGATGGTTAGGTCTGTGGGAGCGGAAACCGCGAATATTCCAATGAAGGATAGTTATACTTTCGTTGATTTAGTGATATAGATTGTAGTACGTGTTGGAGAATTTGAAGGGGAAGCAGCTAGAGGGTGGTATAAGGACTGAGAGGTTTGAGATGGGAGAGGTGTGGGAGTTGGTGTTCTATCAGGAGGGGTATTAGGAGATGGAGGGTCTGAGGAAGGGGATACTTGTGACATAAGGGATTCACGTGTATATCCAGGAGGGAGTGGAAGGGATAGAGGGGATGGTGGGAGAGTTAATGTGGGCGGGGTTGGGGTCAGGGGTGATGGGCTGTGTTGGGAGGGGGTAGGAGGATAGGGTGTAGGGGGGATATCGTTAGGAGGAGGATGGATATCAGCAATTACTTGGAGTGTGGAAGGAGCAGGAGTTGTAGGTTGAGTGTCAGTTTTCATTAAGTAATCTTGAATATTTTCAATAGTTTCTTCTGTGGAGTTGGTTGGGGAGTTTTGGGGGATAAAGGATTTCTTGTGAGGGGGGGGAAGAGAGGACTGGTGTCTCAAGAGTACGGGCAAAGGATGGTGAGGGTGATTGTGTGGTAGGGGAAGAGGGGGTGGAACGTTTGTTCTGTCTGTTACGGGTAGTGCGAGGAGGGAGAGGGGAAGGTGTTGGGGTTCTAGTGGTGATTGGAGTATCTGTAGTAGAGATTGGAGTGTCTGGATTTAGGATGGCAAAAGAGTTTGACTGGGGAAGGTAGGAGGTAGAAGTGGGGGAGTTAGATGTAGGAGGGGTGGGTTTAGGAGAAGTGTTAGAATGAGCAGTACTACTGGAGTAAGGAGTTAGAGAGAATCCACGTCGACGTGCTTCCTGCCTGGCTTCACGTAGTGTGAGTCCAAGTTTGAATCTGAGAGTTGCTACCTCAGATTCAAATTTGTAGGTGGGACAGCCCCTATAAAATACATTATGGGGGCCGCCACAGTTGGCACATGTGCGTGATTGTGCAGAGCAGTTAGATCGGGTATGGCCAGGTTGGGCACATAGTGGGCATCTGGCTGTGGAATGGCAATGTTTGGCTGGGTGTCCTAGACGCCAACAATTTTGGCACTGACGTGGAGGAGGTTGGTATGGACGAACAGGGAGGGATTCTCCTCCTATGTAGACGTTAAAGGGAAGGTCATGTCTACAGAAGGTAATTTTGGCTATGTTAGTGGGTTTCTTTCGATGACCTCTGGGGGGAATGGAGTAGCATTGTACTGATGTTGCATCGTAGTCTGTGAGAGAGGCAAGTAGATCTTCTCCACAATCTGACCAATCTTTGTCATAGATTGGGCAATTTGCTGGGGAGACTGAGACTGTTCCGGAGCAAGTATTGAGGGTTGGATGGGGTTCTGCAAGGATGGGGGTACCATATAGGTCAGTTAGTTTTGTTAATGCTATAGCTTGGTTTTCGGATGTTACTGTGACAAGACGGGAGCGGTCGGGTCGGCTACGGAAAGAGACTTTACCTACTTGTTTTTGGAGGCATTGTTGGAAGAGAAGGGTGTTGTTAGAGTAGGGAGCTGTGGGAGGGATCACGAAAAATCGGTCCCATTTGGCTGCACTAAAGAGAGTATTCAAGATTGTTTTAGAGATAGGGGTGGTAGAAGGGCGGGGGGCGTGATGAAGATGGAGTAGTGTTGAGGGAGGTAGTGTTATGGAGGGGTGGGCTATAAGGCTGTAAGGTATTAATAAGGGAGGATGGGGTGGTTGATGTTGGAGGTTGTGGGGGTAGAGGTGTTGAAGTTGAGCATGCTGGGAGAGTGGAAATGTTCCTTGAGGGTTGATTGTTGGCTACTGTACTAGTAGGCATTGGTGAAGGGGTAGTTATTGCAGTGTTCGGAGCAGTGGTCAAAGGAGAACCTGGGGTTGGGGAATCGGGTGGGTTTACTTCGTTAGGGCTATTTGATAAAGGGGCAAGCGTCATTGCCCCTAACAGTGGGGATATATTTTCATTACTGGCCATGGTAAGCCTGGATTATGTTGGGGATAAAAAACAGTCCACCCCTCAGGGTCCCCTTGAGGGGTAAGGGCTAGATAACTAAAATCAGGGGAATACCGTGCCCATAGATCCCTCAGGCCGTTCCTTTCCGCCCCGACTTTGACCCCGACATGCTGACAGCATATCAGTACCCATTCACACCTGAGTCAACTGAGAGGGGCAGCAGCCGGGAGCAAACCCAGGACCTTGCAATTGCAAAGCCAGCGCTTTACCACTGAGCTATGCCACCCTCTAATGCTTTCACACAATGGAAGATGGAATGTATTGTCCAAAACTGTGCTGTATCTGCACTCCAGAAGAGACCAATAACTTCCACCACATATATGTGGCAAGCTAGTGCTTGGACTGGTGGTTTATTTGACAAAAAAAATGTCTGAATATATTTGATGGTGGTCAAGCAGAATGTGTACTACATACAAGGAAGAATTCAACAGGTATCAGTGAATGTGTCAACCTCCACCAGACACAAAATTACAATCAGAAATATCTCACAGACCTGTCACAGTTACCCATGATCTTGGATATGTTCTGAAGAGGACAGTGGAAAGATTAATGAAAATAGGTAATGGCCGTGAAGATTACATAAAGCAACACAAGTGGTATAAAAAATAATCTTCAGAGGTAAAGGTTGGGCAACAATAACAAAAGATTTTGTGTCTTGATGATTGCACAGTTGAGTTGTGTGATTACAAGCGTCGACTTCTGAAATATGTTTTATCATAATTGATAAATTATAATTGATCTCTTGCACTAGCAGATTCCAAGATCTGCCTGTTGACAACAGCAAAACCTTCAACAGTAGACCTGAACTTTGAAAAGAGGACTGTACAGAGACAGAGAACAACTGAAGTAAAGCCAGTATTAGTTTACCATGCTATTAGTTACAGAACACAATCTACAAGAAGTGAAGGTAAGCCCACAAACACTTTTTGCAATACACCCACAGTAACTAAAGCTTTCACCTTGGCCTATCTTGCAAAATTTATGAGGTGGATGTTTGTTTGTCTTTGCCAGAGAGCCAAAGGTACAAAGGTCATTTCAACTGTGGGACTTCATATCAGGTAAATGGTGTCCTACTTTCAAGAATTAGCCCCTCAACAATATAAAGAGAGGAGAGGAAGTCTGGTTTACCAAGCGACTTTGATCAACTAACCAAGAAGAGCAATATTTAGTTGTACCATTAGGTTGGGATTAGATCAGATACATTGAGTTGGGTTGCCTCGAATTGGGTTCAGCCAGGCAGTATTAGGTCACCTCGTTTTAAGAGAACGCTAATTACAATAACATAATCTGTATGGTCAATCTTATAGGTAAAAGAAAATTACCGAGGATTCAATACACTCAATCTAAAGTGTCTTTCGAAAAACAAACAATAATAATCAATACATGGCAAAATTAATTATTTCTCCTTTTAAAAAGAGATCAGCACATTGTGATAAGGACAAAAAAATCATCACCATCTTGATCAGTCTGGGACAAATATTAAGCCTAGTGTAAAAAAAAGTGAAGAAGAGCTTCTTCCTATCATCTCAAAAGGCCTATCACATAATCATGGATAATGTATATAATTTACAATATTTTGTATATGACACAGTTTCGTATTTCAAGCAATTAAATCATTACTACTAATCTATTTTCTCAACATATTTGCAATATGTTCTTTGTTTCCTCCAGTAAATGTCACCAACTAAATAATTCTTTATTTCCAAGTTTAGTATCTTATAACACTTATCACCAATGAAGTATATCAGTATTAAAGAGAATTTGGAGAAAAATAAAACACCAAAGCGAAATGGTAAACACATTAAGAAAACTAAAAACTTGGCCTTCCTCAGTGCTCTGTCCCCTCTATAGTATCTATTGCCATTGTCAGAATCCAAAATGAACTATAAAAAGACTACATCATACTAGGCGCACGTAATGAAATGCTTGAACATAAGAATGACAGGAAATTGTGCTTAAACTGTAAACATTTACAAAACCTCCACGCGAATTGCGACCTCCTCGCCTGGAAAACGATTTGAAACTCTGTAGAGTGAACATCAACTATCGAGTGCAGTGAAAATCCAAACCCTTTTTAATGGACTCTGATCCCAATTTGGATCCAGGAGAAGATCCTGAATCAGTCCAGTATATGGATCATGATAACCAAACTAAAAGAACAAGAGAAGAACTAGAAAGTGATAACGAAGAAAACCCACTCTCAAAACAACCGAAGAACAAAGAAGCCGGATGGAAAACACCGGCAGAACCACAACCAACAACAAGTAACAACTTAACAAATATGGAGGTAGGAAAAGACAACTTTGTAGTACTCATTCATTTAAAAGATGGATCTGCAAATACAAACTTCAACAACCCACTAAAATTAACTAATGCAATCAACAAATCAGAGTTCCAGAAATACTTAATTGAGGACTCACTAAGAGTACTAGGAGCAGGAAAAGCTCTCAGATTCGAAATCAAAGATATAAAAAAAATAAGGCCATTAAATCAAATAAACAAACTTGGAGAATGGGAAGTAGTTTGTAAGCAACCAACTTCAAACAAATATACAAACTGTTCCTATGGAACAATTTTCCCAGTAGAAACCGACCTCAACATGGAAAATATCAAAGAAAAGATAAGAACCTTAGGATATGAGTCTAATGAAATTACTGAAATAATAAGATTAAAAAAACAAAATAATGACAAAAAAAGTGAAGAAAAATGGGTTCCCACCAAATCCTTAAGAATAACTTTTAGAGGAGCATTACCCAAAAGAGTAGCAATTGGCCATACAAGCTACCAAGTGAGGCAGTACACTTTCCCAATATTAAAATGTTACAATTGTTTAAGGTATGGACATGGGACGGTAACTTGCAAAAATAAAAAAAGATGCAATAACTGTAGCCAATATGGACATAATTATAAAGATTGCCCTAATAACTCTCATTGTTTTTACTGTGATGATAATCATGCACCAAACACAAATGAATGCACAGTCCATAAGTTAGCTCAAGAAATAAACAAAGAAAATATAACACCAAATAACTTAGAGATAAAAAAACAGTTGCAACAACTAAAACCAATAACAAAAAACATAAGTAGTGAAACACAACAACCAAATATGTTTACACAAACAAATAACACACAAGAAGTTCAAGTAACCACAACACCTCAACCTACAGAAGAAAACAGAACACAAACATATGCACAGAAATTAACAGAACCACAAAGCCTCACTTTAGGTCAAAGAACCCCAAACAGAACAAATAACCTAACTCCAAACAGAAAGAAGATAAGAACTCCAAACACCACACAACAAACTACATGTTTTGACGAAAACGAACAAACACAATGTGAAAAAGAAAAATCCAAAACAAACAACAAACAAAAAGACACACTAAATTCACCAGTTACTTGGTCACTACCAACCCCACTAACCCACAAAGATACCACAAATGATGATAACAATGAAAAAAATGAAGAGGATTTCTCTTGGATAAAATTAGCCTCAAATATATTTAAAATAATAACAAAAATAATAAACAATTTAAACTCGGATAAACCAATAATACAAAACATAATGGATGTGATAAACGAGATTAGCAACATGCTAAAGGCAATATGAAAAACTTAATATTGTGGAATGCAAGATCTGTGTTAAACAAGAAAACTAACCTAAATTATTTAATTTTTAAAGAAAACCCAAATATAATAGCCATAACAGAAACATGGTTAAAAGAAAAAGATAAATTTACTCTAAATAATTACACAATAATCAGGAAAGACCGAGTAAACCAAGTAGGAGGAGGCTTAGCCATATGCATCAAAAACGATGTACAGTTTAAAGAAATAAATCTAAGAGATATACATAGGGAAAAATTAGAAACCTTAGGAATAAAAATAAACTATAAAAGAAAATGGCTTAATATATTAATAATATACAACCCATGTAATGATATAAAAACAGAAGAACTACAATATTACTCAGAGCAAATTACAGATCCAAAATTAATAATGGGAGACTTTAATGCTCATCATCCTTATTGGAATGAAAACATAAGTAATAGACAAATTAATGCAACAGGCAAAAACATAATAAAATGGATCAGTCAAAACAATCTAATAATGCTAACCCCAAAAAATCAAATAACTAGAATAGACCCTAAAACAGCCAAAGAATCAACCTTAGATCTAATATTTGGTTCTCCAACCCTAAGTCATATCCAACTAAAAACAGCTTCTCATTTAGACAGTGACCACTTACCAATAATAATAAATGATAATTCATACATAGATAATAACCTACTAAAAGAAAAAAAGTGGCAATATACAAAAGAAGGGTGGAGGGACATTCAACAAGATTTAAACAGCATAGAAACAGGAAATCTAACCTCACTCAAAGAAATTTCAGAGATTATAAAAAACACGGCCTTAAAATATTTTAAATTAGAAACACGGAAATACAAAGATAAACCAAATAAACCATGGTGGAATAAAGAATGCAATGATATTATAAAAGAAAAAAACAAAGCCTATAACAAATGGAGAAAAAAGCCAACATTAATAAACCAAAAAGAATATAAGAAACTATTAGCAAAAGCTAGACTTAAAATAACACAAACAAAAAGGGAATCATGGGAAAAGTTTTGTGCAACATTAGATTTTAAAACCTCACCTAAAATGATTTGGAATTTCCTAAAGAAACAAACAGGAAAAATAACTACAATGGAATATCCATTAATTGAAAATGATCTGCCATTAACAGAAATTGCACAAAAATTAGATAAATTCAAAAAAGAATATATGGAAACAGTAAGCAAAAATCCCAAAAAACTTATGTCAGAATTAGAAAAAGAAAGATTATTCAACTTAAAGAACACTAATGAAATAAATAAAGAAATAACCCTCATAGAATTAAGAGCAGCAATTAATAGTGCCAAAAACAATAAAGCATACGGACCAGACGAAATGACATATGAATTTTATAAGAATGCTCCAAACAATATACTAGAGGCAATCCTAACCAATATCAATTCATACTGGATTAAAGGAGAATACCCCGAATCACTAAAAAATGCCATAATAAACCCCATATTAAAACCGGGTAAAAACCCTTCAGAATCAAACTCTTACAGATTCATAAGCAGAATCTCATGTATTGGAAAGATATTCGAAAATATAATAACCAAAAGATTAATATGGTGGCTAGAACACAATGATAAGCTAGATGTAGACCTAACTGGATTCAGACCTAATAAAAGTACCATTGATGCACTACATACAATTGATAGCCACATAAACAAAGCATTCATAGACAAAAAATATATAATTGTAGCATGCATTGATTTAGAAAAAGCTTTCGACACAGTCAACCACGAAGCACTTCTAATAAAAATGTCGAAATTAGGCATCACGGGAAAACCCCTAAAATGGCTGTATAACTTACTAGAAAAAAGAACTTTCCAAATAAAAATTGGAAATCAAACCTCCGAAAAAGGAACAATAAAAAGTGGAGTACCTCAAGGCTCACCAATAAGCCCAACTTTATTCAATATAATGCTAAATGATCTAAAATTATCAAAAGAAATTGAAAAGATTATATATGCAGATGATATAACCTTATTAACAAGTAATAAAAACTTAATAGAAGCATCAAACAAAATAGAAAGAGAACTACAAAAATTAAAAGATTGGGCCAATCACTGGGACCTGAAAATAAACTTCACAAAAAGTAAACTAATGTGCTTTTCAAATAAAAAGATAAACCAACTACCAAAAATAAGAATAGATAACATAGAAATCAAATACACTCTAAGCCATAAAATTTTAGGCCTAACTTTAGACGCCCCCAAACTAAAATGGAAAAAACATTTAGAAAACCTAAAAGTAGATATCTTAAATAGAATAAACATAATGAAAAAACTAACTTCACTAAATTGGGGAGCAAATAGAGAAACTCTATTAAAGTTCTATAAAATATACATAAAACCAAAAATTGAATATGGATCAACAATTTATGGAGCAGCAAAGGAATCCGATTTAAAAAAACTTGAAACACTACAAAACCAAATTTTAAGACTGGCAACAGGATGTTTTAGAACATCTCCAATAATAGCTCTTCAAGCATTAACAAACATCCCATCTTTATCACAAAGAATAAAAGAACTTGAATGCATTCAACTAACAAAAATTCTAAATAAACCAAATAAGACACCAGTAAAACAACAAATAACAAACTGCATAAATGAATATAATCCTCAAAGAGATAAAAGATCTCTAGTATACAGAGCTACGGAAACAAAAATAAACCTAAATATAAACATAAATCCAAATGAAATCCCAAACATATCCCCAATACCACCTTGGTATGATATTTCAGAAAATGTACAAATAGACTTTATGAATAATATAACAAAAAATACTCCTCAAATAATCATCCAAAAACAATTCCAGGAGTTAATAAATACGAATTATAAAGACTTTAACAGAATTTTCACTGATGGATCAAAAATAAAAGAACCAGATTCAACTTCAGCAGCAATCTACATCCAAAACAAAAATATAACAACTATTTGGAAATTGCCTCCTAAAATAGAAATCACACACGCAGAATTATTTGCCATAAAACAAGGACTAAAGTATGTAATAAATAATAAACTGACAAAAACTATAATACTAACAGACTCTCAATCATCCTTACAATTAATAAAAAACTCTAAACCACTAAATTATAAACAAATCACATACGAAATACAAAAACAGATACACTTTCTCTCAACAAGAAAACAAGAGATTAAGATACAGTGGATTCCATCACACAAAAACATTAAGGGAAATGAAATTGTTGACCTAGCGGCAAAGAAGGCCCATGAAATAAATAATCACATGTCTATACCACCAGATCCAAATTATATCATAAAAGAAATTAAGATAAAGAATAACAAACAATGGGAATCAAACTTAAAAAGAATCCTAAGTACAAAAAATTACCTCATCAAAGATAACACTGAAAAGCCA